TTTGAACCCCACCATGAGCTCTTCCATATGAACTAGGTGAGCAATACTTTTTTCCATCATCAGTAGGTGTTTTGCTCCACTTAAGATATGAAGTTATCATGATCAGATTTAGTGTAATGTGCTTCCCATGGATATTTCACCTATCCTCTTGGGTAGACTGGTAGGAAGAATATTTACGTGTTTAAACATAATAATAATACTATAAAAATCATGACAGGGAAGCCAATAAACAAAACGCCAACTTTGGAATCTCAAAAGTATACATTCAACCTTCAACCTAAGAAAAATTCAAAGAAAGGTGCGAAACTACAATTAATAAGTAATGGATTGCCTACTAAGAGGCTTCGTGATTTTGTTTTTTATCTTAATACTAATAAGCCTACTTTAAGTATAGTTTCAAGTAGTCTAAGAAAAGAGAAAGTAGGAGTTGGTATCTTAAGGGATGATTTAATCATACACTACATCTATTTAGAGAGGTTACATATGACTTTTTAAGAGGCTATTTTGTTTGAAGTAAAGTGAAAAAAAAAGTAAATTAAAAGGAATACAGTGTAAAGCATTTTAGTTTATTTTTGATGGAAAGTAAACTCGTCCAATTTTGAGCAAAAACTATTTTTACCAGAAGCAATCTTTACCACAGCCAGCCACCGTCACTACCTGCCATCGTACGCCGTCCATCACAATTGCCGCCAACCACCACCACTATCATTTGCCAGCACCCGCAGCCGCCGCCACCACCACGGTCGTCCACCGCCACCACCATTTTTGAATTTTACACTACATTCATTTTATTTCAAACCAAACCAACAAAACAAACATTCACTTGCTTGCACTTTTCATACTCATCCAAACAACACCAAAGTATTTCTTTTACACTGCATTCCTTTTTCAACAAACCAAACAACCTCTATGACTCATAGATGTCATGGTGTCTGCTCTTTTATTAAATTTTAATGATATTACTTCTAAGCATGCCATAGATTTAATGCTCGAGTCACAATCCCCAAGCATTCCATCTCATGCATGCTCTGATGTTGCGTTTTCTTTTGATAAATACTTTCAAAGCCTTCACAATAAAATAATGAATCAAGTAATTATAAGGAAAAATATGCTAACACAACGGACCATGATCATTCTACTAAAAAATATAAAGAAGGCGATTAAATGTTGATTCTTATCTGACCAGAGAAATACCAATCCACTAAATTAAAGAAATTACATGATAGGGTTGGTGAATCATTTAGAATTATTAGGAAAATTGGAACCAATGCATACAATATTGATTTTCCTATTGATATATTTATCAACTCGATTTTTTATTATTGAGGATATCTTATCCTATAATTCAGTGAGCCAATATTCAAATGTTCAGTCTAATACTTTGTCAAGAGACAGCACCATCCACTTCTAGAATCACTCACAGTCCAGTTTTATTGAAGTAGAGCCTATCATTAGGGAAGAAGTCCCTAAAGATATAATTGCAGATCACAAGTTTATAATAATTCTATTAAAAATATAAAGAATGTGATTGTTTTAATTCTCGTTAGACCTGAAAGATACCAATCCACTAAATTAAAAATAAAAATAAAAATAAAAATTGTATGATATAGCTAGTGAATCATTTGGAATTATGAGGAAAATTTTGACCAATGCATATCATATTGATTTGTGTGTTGATATACTTATCAAATTGATTTTTAATATTAAGGATATCTTATCCTATGATGTAGTTAGCTATCCTCCAAATGTTCAGTCTAATACTTTTAGCAGGAGACAACACCATCCACTTGCAAACTTGCCACGTTTACTTTTATGGAGGCAGAGTTCATAAATTGAAAAAGTTACTAAAAACATAGTTGCAGATCATAGGTTTTTTATAAATGGAAGACCAAACCCCAAACGAAGATATTTGGATGGCAAGAATGGATTTAGAGAAATGTGTTCCTCAGCTTTTAGTTGGCTACCTGGATTTTAACTCTACAATGTAGAGTTCATATGAGCCTATGGAAGTTGATGTAGGACTTTAAGGTGATCAAAATAATTAAGTTAAGGGAGGCATAATTGAAAGAAGTCAAGCAAGATCCCAAACACATCAAGATGCTTAAGCTAGGATAGATCTAATTACAAGAGCCCAAGCTTGAAGAAAATTTAATATTTTGAACATCAAGCTCGAAGTTTAGATTTTGTATTTCATCATTTTTGCACTTTTACTTTACCTTGGGACAAGTTTTTCTGCCAGCCACTTGATTTAGTTTCGAAATGGTATGCAGTTAATGCATATGTTTGGCGTATTCCTCCACTAAATGCTATAATTTCTCTCCATTTTCTTTTCTTCTTTTCTTTATAGTAATGGTAGCCCAAAAGTCATTTTATATTTTATATGAAGTATTGATATGTAATGAAAAATTTTAGTTTCGAATGATATAAAAATTTGAAAAAATTTACTCTGGAGCTTGTTGGCTAGGTATAAACCTTCCTTGGTGGGAAAAGCTAGTTATTTCTTGGTGCTTATATTTTCTTTAGAACTTTTCTCCCAAACCTCTCCATTATCACTTTTATCTAAGCTGCCAACCTCACAAAGCCATCAAAATAATTTTAAAGCCTTAAGGCTCTAGGCCAAGACTAGTCTCATCACCTAGTCGTATTCCACAAAGCCCTTAAAGCTCTTTAAATTCCACTAGATGCTCTAGATCATAACAACTTATCTTTAGCTAGCCCTCCATAATTATTTATTGTTATTTGGTGACAACTAAACCCATTTCTAAAACAGTTAAACAAAATCAGCCTAAATTAGATCCATTTGAGCTAGTTTTAATTTATCTACCTTTATAATAACCTAAAGATCACCCCCCTACCATCAACTATAGATCATACCTCAGCATCATAAGTCAACCATTTATAGCCACCCATTTCTCTACTTGTAAAGTCTTTCACCACCATCACCATCTTTTCTACCTCCTCTTCCCTGTTCAAGGACAGAATCCGTGAGCTGTTTATGGTCAGTTTTATGTAAAAGAAAACAAGGCATGCAAACTGACAAATAAGGTTTCAACAAAGTTCGTTCTTGAAGGTAACCTGTCGTTAGTGGTGAGGTAGTTGATGAAACTCGAGTCTTAAAAACAAGTACTCGAGCTTTGATTCTTTTTTTTTTTAATTATTTAAAGTTCATACTAGCAACACCTATGCGCAGGAGACAATTCTATTCCTTATGAATCCATATCTCAGTTTTCATGAGGATAAAAGAGATCACTCAGAATGTGTGCAATTAGGAATATTCGTTTGCTTGTAGATATTAACTCTGTTCTGTTGATTTTAGGAGGATTGTAATCCGAGAGTATTAGAGGATGCCTATGCGGCATTAATTTTTGAACCGCACCATTTTTCCTTCAACATTTAGTGTAGGCAGATTGCTCACATTATTATTATTTTTGTATGCTTTATGTAATAAATGAGTGATCTTAATCTTCACGAGGATGGTTCATCTGTAAGATTTCTGGCAATCTTGCATGCCTATGAAGCTTTAGTTTTTAGGTCAGTGGGGTTTTGAAATTGTTTATAGATTTGCACATGGTCTTGCAATGAATTTCTTATTGTTGATTGTCTTGATTTGATATGTTATTTGATGGTAGCCAGAACTACCGAATCTGATTTTTTTTTCACGACTGAATTCTCGGTAAGATATCCAATCATGAAAGAAAGTTTTAAATTTTATTTGAATTTATAAATTGATGTATTGTGAAGATGGATTAATATTAAATAATTTATCTTTCTCTATGCTCTTTTTCTTGTATTGCTTGGATATGTTATTGACCTCATTGGCCTGGTTAAGAGCTGCTTAAAAGTAAAATTTCCAAGCATGGTAACTCGGATATAGAGACATTTAACCCTTGAAATATTTTTGGTCCTACCATAGTTCTGGCTACTGCTAATGCATCATTAATTAGCTAATTTATGATGTTGCTCTTATTCTTCACGAACAATCAAACTATGATAAATAAAATCGTACTCCTGGATGGCACAATCTATTTAACCAATTGTCATTACTAGAACAAACGGACTCACTTAAATTAGTGTCAAAATTTATAAAGAATTGGTTGCAACATTTTTATGTCTGACAAAAGTAGTGACTAATGTTATTTTATAAAATCCAATTATGGTAGATTGATAGAAAATGTGTTAAAGGTTTGAAATAGAGAAACGGCAGTGAGGGAGGAAACATGTAGAAGCTGCAGCTGCTTAATGTGAAGAGCAAAAGGAGAGATGAAGAGATTGGATGCTTTTAGGATTATTTTTGTGGAGGCTGTTGTCCTATATGCATCATTTTGATATCCTCTTTTAGAATAATTTATAATCATTAGATGGAGTTTGAGCGATCATGCTGCCCTTTTTCTATACTTTTTTTGAATTAATAGTAAAATAGAGAGTCAAAAGGTGTCTCGTGCTTGGGGCAGTGTCATTATATGTTGGGAATGGCATTGAACATGATTGAGACTTCAAATACATGTTCATGATATTTAAGTCGAGCAAGGAGAGGCCTTTTTTTAGTTTCTAATCTTGTCGGAGAGGTGTGACCTGCAATTAGGGACAAGGCCGCGTGCATATATTCTTGGCTGACTTTAAGACAGTCTGTGGTAACTCGTTGAATTTTCTCTGATTCTCTTCAAGTTAGATTTGCACGTTAAAGCAGGATGAACTGACCCAACTTCTTTCCTGTGCCTCTTTTTTGGGGTGAGAATGTGACGTGTTTTCCAATCTAATTTGATTAAAGATTCATTCATGCCTGAGAACATCCAGTTGCCAATTTGCTGCAGAATCCTAATAAGGCTACCATGCTTAATGATATCAACTTTCAGACATTTGGCTGCATTTCCTAGTTTTAACAATCTTCAGATCCAATTTATTCTAAAGATTATATGCTTGAAATGGAAATTTAAATAGCAGCATCAATGTGCATGTTACTACTTGTCATTGACTTATTTCTAGCAGCATATTTGTGGCAGCGTCACCTTTGACGTGCTTGAAGGATTCACCAAGGAAAGGAGAGAAACTTGCTGTCAGCCCTAGTGGTACATTAGCTGCAATAACAGATTCTCTTGGCAGGATTCTTTTGCTGGATACTCAAGCACTTGTTGTTGTTCGACTTTGGAAGGTACATCTTTTAATTGGGTATATTTGGGTTTTGATTTTGTTGACTATTTACTTTTTACGATTTTCCTTAACCTGTTAGGGTTACCGGGAAGCATCATGTCTTTTTATGGAGGCAATGATTGACAAAGACAAAGCGTCAACAAGTTCCAACTACCCTGGACTTAGAAAAAATGACTATTGTTTATGTTTAGCAATCCATGCACCACGTAAAGGAATTATTGAGGTAACTAAAAGTAGCATTATTCTAATTTTTAAAATTTTCTAGATTCTGGTTGCGAGATGGGTGCACCACTCTTTATGTGTCAACTAAACATTTTTCATTTGCTAAAATACTAGGCTTTATTATCAATATAGAAAAATTTAGTGGAATTTATCCTAATTTATTTACATGATAAATTTGCCCGTCTTAAAAAAAAATATTGATTCTTGGCACTTGCTTAAATTCCTGAAATTTCTCTAGCTTCTCTCCTATTTTTGCACAAACTTTTTTCAGACTTTCTAAAATGATGGAGAAATCTGAGTTATCATGGTAAAATGTAAACGTAGTTGGATGTTTCATTTGAAGATTGATGCAAGTAAGACTTTTTGGTTTTTTCGAGGTTCTTATGATCTATTTAGCATTAGTTGTAGGAGATTGATTGTATGCCTCTTATGCTCTGGCGTTAGATAACATTGATTGCCTTTTATGCCTGTGGTGAATTGACATGTTTACTTCATGCTGAATTATTTTTGAATTACTGCGTTCATGGCTGAGTTATCTACAATCACTTGTATGCAGCTCACTATATTCACTATGAACCCCCTTGCATTATGAATATATCATTATATTGCAAGTCCCTTGATTCATACATATATACAATCCACATTCATTCGATGTTTCTTTTCATATGCACAAGTAGCTTGAACTTCTTTTACCAGTTGACCAATCATCAATAGTATGCATAACATTTTCGCTACAACTGTCTTGCATTTGTAATTTCTGCTTCCTTTAATTTGTCATTAGAGTGTATTTCATTAACATTGGAGTTTCTATTGACCGCACAAATGTCCTTAAAAGCAGCTTGTAGTTCGAGTTCCCTTGTCAATTACTCAAGTTTTGTTCTATGTATATGTTCGAGTTCAAGTTCAGATCATTATAGTCTGAATCAAAGTAAATCTTCATTTTGTCATTCATTTGTCCAATGTCAAGTTCAAATCTATTTAAGTTTTGTTCATTTCAAGTTCTATGTTGTTATGAATTCATATCTTTATAGTTCATTCAAGCTCAAGTTCTTTACGGTCCAACTCAAGTTCGAGTTCTAGCTAAGTTCATTATTGACCATTCAAGTCAAATTTCTTGCTGCTTGAATTCTTATCTTTTCATACACAAATTCAAGTTCTATGCAATGTCATTTAGTTCAAGCTCGTATTCAATTTGAGTCCACAGTGCAAGTTCAAATTCTATGTACACATTTGAGTTTGAGTCCACAAGTCATCTGTTTGTCCAAATTGTAAGTTTATTCTTGATCAAATTTGATTTAAGTTTGATTTATGTTTTTAGTTTAATCATTCGAGTTTGCATTTAGTTTATTTGATGCTAAAATAAATGTCCAAATAAAGTCCCATGTTTTTGTCCAAGTCATGTGCATCTTCAAACGAAATTTCGACAGCCTCCCGGCGTCTCCCCGTTTAGGGGAAATTTTAGGAGTTTGGGCCTCCCGCCACGCTACAGAAAAGCGTGTACTATAGGTGTCGGGTGATACCTTGACCAAAAAGTCTGCAATCCCACCACGCCAAAAAAAAGCGTATTTGGGTCCTAGGCACCTGTTTAAAAAAATAGTTTTATATTTGTTCCCACACGCTAGAGAAAAGCGTGTAAAGGATTTACCCGTCTTGCCGTAGGCATCGCACTGAGTTACCATCACACCATGTTAGAGAAAAGCGTGTATGGGCGATTTTTCGTTGCGTTGCTAATGTCGAGAATGGGATTTCAAGTTTGCGAATTTATACCTTCGGGGTCGGTGGCGATGAGGTAGGTAAAAAAATGCACAAACCACATATTTTCTTACTTTTTTTTGAAATTTCTTTTCTTTTTGTTGACTAACGTGTAATACTCAAAGAAAAGAAACTTGGACGCTGCTTCTCCAACTCCTTCCACGCTCTCTCCTCCTTCCAATCACGATCTCTTCCCGACTTCCTCCCTCACCCGATCGGCCCTCCTCTCCTCTGATCTTCCCTACCTGAAGCCGATCGGAAGTCCCGACCTCCGCCTCCCTTCAATTCGCAGAGAGAGAGAGAGAGAGAGAAAGAAGCCAAGAGAGGAAGACTTACC